AAACCGTTAAACCAAAACAAAGAAACTGGTATATCAAGCAATGAATGAAAATCAAGTAATGAATAGGCCTAAGTTGTTATTAAATTATTGTCACTACGTTATAAGTGACATGGACATTGCTTAAACCAATTTTTCACACTAACTGTGAATAAAGAAATGGTATAAAACTTAGGAGACTTAATTAGGCCTAGTTTACTTAGTTGACTTAGGGAGGGCCGACAACCCAAGAGAGGAATCAAAACTACACATCTGTGAGTGTAAAATTCAAATGAAGGCTTAAAATATTGTTTTAAAATTTAATATAATTAATAAAGTAACAGAAATGTCATAGTAAAGAAACGCTTAAATGAACTTAGAATACGTACACATGATGCGTTTGTTTATGAGGAAAATTATTTGATCAAAATATTTCTGAAACTTTGAGTTTGCTTTGTTCAATTTGTAGGATAAAACAAGTTTTTATTTTGGTAGGAGCCTTCTTACTTGACAAAAATATCTAATTTAGGCAAGAAATAACACGTTTAATTGATTATTACTACAATGTAAATTTGGAATGGAGAAAGCTGTAAAAACGGTGGATGTAAACAAAATGCTTACAGCAGGTCTATTATCATTTGAATTGGAGGATAGGAAGGAATGCATTTTTAATTATGGAGTTTGTCGTATTTTCCCCGTTGTTGATATAGATAAATAAATAAATAAATAAGTACAGTACAATTAATTAATTAAGCTTTTTGTCACCGTGTCGGAAGACACGGGCTCGAACGGGAAATTTAGTTCCTAAATACTGAATACATCACTGCATTTACCTGGCAGTGTTGCCATTCCGCGGGAGGAAAGTTAAATTCAGGGGCGTAGACTCGCTGAATTAATTAGTTGTTGAGCCAAACCATATGACTAAACTATACGTGTGGCATTTGTTGTTCTACTGGCATGTTAAGTTAAACTATAATTATGGGGTCTTTTTTCATATTTTCTTGCCCCAAAGCTGGTTCAATAACTAAATTGAAGTGTTACATTCGTCAGCCAGCTCAGCTCCTGTAATGTTACGGCCGTTTCAGCATTAATGTGCTATCATCAAACTGTTCGGCTAAAAGACGTTGTTATAACACAGAAACATTTCCACACGAAACACACACATACACAAAATTGGTTAAAAAGGCTGTTAATAAATCGACCGCAGAGGAAGGTGGTGTAGTATTCTGAAAGAGAATGAAATGTTCTACAATTGCTAGGCATTTCTTGAAAATACTTAATAAAGGTAGGAGAAAGTTTCCTCCAAATAAAAAAAAACGTGTAAAATACAATTGTTTTTTTATTTATAATGGAAAACAGGGTTTTTTTATTTATCACCATAAACCATAACTAAAACAAACTTTCATAATTCATTATTTGCAAATCTTAATCTCCACGAATCAAGCCATCAGTCCAGTAAAACGGTATATTATATATTAACAAAGTACCGTGCAGATAATAACAAAAATATTCAATATTAATTTGGACTTCAGAAAAAGCGTATAGATTTTGAAAGTAGGCCTACAACAACAACAAAATATCTCCTCAAGATTTAAGAATAAGTCAACTGTGTTTTGCTTTTTTATGAACATATTTTGATCAATTTCGGAAAATACATTCATTATTTACTAAACTATTAACATTTTGGAAAAACAAACTTTTTTACCGCCCTTGTTGCAGCAAACCTAAGTACTCGTTAAACTAATTCTATTTAAATAGGGAATAAATGTGGTATTTTTAAGGAGGCATTTTTAGTGTACACCCAAATGGCAAATGGAAATTCGCTTACTTGCAGTGGCGGGTTTTTTTCATATGTTATACATTCAAGTACAGTATAATACTATTTGAAACGATAAAAAGTGGGGGGGATCTTTACATAATAGTTTTATGATTATGAAAACTCGTTGTAAGCTGAGAGCTAAAGACACGTTAGCTGGACTTCAGGCTCAAAATAACTTAAGATTACACTAGATACAAAAAGATGTTACATGAACATGACCATAATTTTTGGACACATAATTTTAAATCGTATGGCATTATTTAATTTTTGTAAATAATTGATTTCGGAAGAGTGTTTTGACTTTTTCATTGCACAGCAGCCATATCTAACTGTTGGGAAAAGATCGTTCATTGTGCTTTAGATAGCTAGAGTCCATAAACATGGATTTGTTAAAGTTATTAATACAAATATATAAGACCTGTTAGTAAAAAGATTCTGTGTGGCATGTGAATGAAAACGGCAAAGGAAAAATATTATAGGACCAAAATTAATTGTTGGGTACATTATTTTACATCATACAGTATAACATTATCCATTTTTGTGAATAATTTATTTTGATACAATCAGAGGAGTAAAAAAGAAAGAGTGTATGATGATGCTATCAACAATGTATTTTCGGATCAAAAACTATGGGGCGGCCCAGATTAGCCACGTTCTTGCGAATGTTCGTTTGACCCCTAGAAAAGATGTTTATTCTACTGTAAATTGTTATTCTGGCAAATCTTTGTTATATTTTAAGGATACAGTTTTATTCTTTTAACTGTATAATTTGCATTTGCTTAGAAATAAGTATTTAAAGTTGTAAAGTGGGCGTGGTTTGTGAGTATAGTAACAATGGGATAGCGCCAGTTTAGTTTTGCGTTAAAAACTGGGCCAATAGGAGAGTAGTCTGGTTGTAGCGCCTTCCCCTTGTTTCGGCCAATCTAGTTTATAATTCTAATCCACTGCCTGTTATATATCATGAACAATATCAATATCTATATCATACAAAGTGTTAGTTTGTGTATCTATCGTTTCCTGTAGTATATCATTATTAATATAAATATAGATATTATATGTTGCATATATTATAGTACCCGTACCGTTGACTATGGAATTCATAGGCTACTGTTCTTAATGGATTAGATTGCAACTTCAGCCGTTGATTACTAAACTAATGTGCAATCCCTCTTTGAATTGATTATGGAATCACCTCGGTTACTGTTCTTAACGGTCAAGATACTTACTCTAGTCGATGATTATTTTACCAATGATGGAACCACTTTACCATTGATTATGGATTCAGTCTTCGGCTACTGTTGTTAACGGTCTAGAATTTCACTAGAGTCGTTGCTGATGTAGATCCATATACCCCCACCCTAAATCGAAAACTAAGGATGTTGGAGGGGATGGGGTTTGCGCCATTGAATTTCTCGACCCCAAAATAGGGTAAAAAACTATATCACAACCCCTCATACCCTCCCGAACACGTATTTTATACCCACTCCCCAGATCCATATACCCCCACCCTAGATCGAAAACTATAGATGATGGAGGGATGGGGTTTGCGCCATTGACTTTCTCACCCCCAAAATAGGGTAAAAAACTATATCACAACCCCTCATACCCTCCCGAACACGTATTTTATACCCACTCCCCAGATCCATATACCCCCACCCTAGATCGAAAACTATAGATGATGGAGGGATGGGGTTTGCGCCATTGACTTTCTCACCCCCAAAATAGGGTAAAAAACTATATCACAACCCCTCATACCCTCCCGAACACGTATTTTATACCCACTCCCCAGATCCATATACCCCCACCCTAAATCGAAAACTATAGATGATGGAGGGACGGGGTTTGCGCCATTGAATTTCTCGACCCCAAAATAGGGTAAAAAACTACATCACAACCCCTCATACATCCCAGAACACGTATTTTATACCCACTCCCCAGATCCATATACCCCCACCCTAAGTCGAAAACTATAGATGATGGAGGGACGGGGTTTGCGCCATTGAATTTCTCGACCCCAAAATAGGGTAAAAAACTACATCACAACCCCTCATACATCCCAGAACACGTATTTTATACCCACTCCCCAGATCCATATACCCCCACCCTAAATCGAAAACTATAGATGATGGAGGGACGGGGTTTGCGCCATTGAACTTCTCACCCCGAAAATAGGGGGTATCCATGGTTTTGTACTGCTTTATAGACAAAATTTCGAAAGCTATATACATTAAGCAAATGGGGGGGGGTTCGCCCCCTTACAGGTCAAGGAGGGCAATATAACTGTTGTAAAGGGTGTATTTGTATTTAGGAAAACATAACAAACCAATATAATAGGGAAGAAAAAATATTTTGGCTGGGGGGGGAATTCCCCCCCTTGTAAGTAGGAAGGGGGGGTGGTTAGGTCGTCGGCGATGGTTCCATTGGATTTCTCACCCCAAAAATAGGGGATATTTATTATTTTTGTACTGATTTACCGACATATTCTCCAAAATTATATATATTTAGTCAAAGGGGGGGGAGGGTCTTGCCCTTACAGTACAAGGGGGCAGTATAAGTGTTAAAATGAGTTTATTTGTATGGAGGATAATATAATAAATAAATACACATGAAAACAAATATATTTTATTCAAAGAATATCCATCTACCCCTTGTAATTAGAAAGGGGGGGCTCGTAGGGGGACGGCGATGGTCCCATCGAATTCCTCGCCCCAAAAATAGTTGGGCTACATGGTTTATACAGCTGTAGGTACAAACTGGAGAAAATCCCTGAAAGGGATCAAAAGTTTGAAAAAATTTCCCCGAATAGGGATAAATCTCGCTTAAAAAATCCCACTCCCCAGAGCCATACACCTACCACGTCATGTTTAGAAGGCAATTTTTCGTTCTAATCCTTATTGATATCATTGACACATTTTAATTATATGTCACCACCTATGTGGTTACGTTATAAATAGTAGAAAATACAATTTATTCAGATATCTCATCGTTGTATCGTGTAACACGCAATATAAGGCTTTTCCAATGTCTACTAGAAACGAGACAGGACCGGGACCAAGCACTGGTCTGTTGTAAGTTGCAGCGAGTGTTCCTATTGTTTCGTCCTGGCAGTTTTATGGCCTAGCATTCGTCAGATGCTCGTCAGCTAACTTCAGCCTGGTTAGACCCCTGTTTGAGAGGCAACCTAAACCGTTTTGAGGTTAGACAATGTACAATTTAACTTTAGGAGTTAAGTTTTTATAAATAAGACGCCTGTCTTTAAGTATCTTACATTTATATTTGTCACTGTATGACCTATAGATTACTCGACTGGATTTGATACTGATTTACTGGTTATCAACACTTAACAGCTTTGTTTACAGTTTTACGAAGTAACTTAAACATACAAAGTATAGGCCTACTAGTGTGAGAAAGGTTGGGTGTTAAACGGTATTTAAACTAACTTCCTTAGCTTAGGCTACATTTTAGGGTTAAGTTATGTATTTTACTGGCATATAACTAGAAACAAAATTCAAAGCTTTGATTTAAGTTAGGCTAGGCCTAGGCTAAGTTGAGTAAAACGCAGAGGATACGCGCCTGGTAACCGGACGTGGATTAGGTGTCTGGCAGTTATTACTGTCATAACCGAAACAACAAAACTTGCTGATAATGAAAAAATCGAATGAAGGTTAAATTCTGTTCATCAAAAATAAAATTAGGGTACACAGGTACAGTTTCTTAACTGGGCTGCTTTTGTTTAGGCCGGCCAAAAAGTATAATTTTTCAATGTTACGTGTAAATATAAATGTTTCGTGTGTCAGTGTATGTGTATATGTGTACTTCAACTTTGACCAATGCTATAAACAGTAATTAACAAGACAGAAAATTTGACAATGGGGCTGTTGGCCCCGAAACTATAGTCATTTTAAAAGACGACTTGGATTGAGGACGTATACAAGGTATTTAACCTATTATTATTATTATTATTCAATCCAGGAGGCAAACATGGATAAATTAATATTGATTGAAACTATCGATTCGATTAGTAAACCTTCTTGCGATTTTTTCACCATCAGCAAGATTGGTTGGTTAGATTAGGTTATGATAGTTAATTTTATAACAGATATATTTAAAATATCGATTATTAATCAATATTTCCAATTTGATAGTTTCAATCGATATTAGCATAGCCCTGTTAAGAAACTGTACCCAGGTACACTTCCATATCTGTTGGCACAAACAACCGAATGAAAATATCGATCGTTATATCGAACTAAACAATCGAATATAATCAATATTACTCATTCGGTTGTTTGTGCCAACAGATATGGAAGTGTACCCAATTATAAATGCCAAAAATTACAGTTAAGAAGAAATTAATTACATTCAAAGCAAAATCTTTGAAAAAAAGTTAGTTTGGTTAGGCTACCGATGGGATTCGAACCAGGGGCCGCTTGCATATCAGCTGAGCACTCTATCCACTACACCACAAACACCGATGGCTGTACATCGTATCGTTGTGGTAATGGCGTTCCGGCCCTCCACAACCCGGTGACGTCACTGCCGGATGCCTAATCCACGTCCTGTTACCGGACGCGTATCCTCTGTGTAAATAAAATCCTATTAGGCCTAACTAAGAGTTTAACCAATATATTAAATTAAATTAGCACAGCCTTAAAACTTGAAATTGTTACCAGTAGCTTGGGAAAAGTTTTGTATTCCTATTTAATGTTAAGTTAGGTACTTTTTTCAATAGTCAGCATTGGTCGGTAATCATGTTGATCAGTCTAGGAAACAAACATTTAAGTTACCGGTACAGCCTAAGGCCCAAAAAATACTATCATTGTGTACACACGCACATTTGGTTACTGAGATTAAACTGCTTTAACCCTCCGAGGGTCACGCGTCAAAAAATCGACGCACAACACACTTTGTGTAGGGTCACGCGTCTAGTTTAAGACGCACAAACATCGTTTACGGCGAAGGCTCTATGACTGACTGAATCGGATTGAACTGGATCGAGTTAGGTATCGTTCTTTCCGTAATATTCTAAGCTTTCTCCAGAGGTCTGTCTCTAAGCGCTATTCATTTTAGTTCCGAAAATATTGTAGCAGACAGCTGACGTGCGTGTATTTGTAAACAGCTAGGTTCCCCCGGACCGATGACTGATGTGTTTTATTACGTTTATCATTTTTTTAGTGTTAAAAATCAAAAGTAGTGATATACGTGGTGCATTATAAGAAGATTTAAGTGGTTTTGAAGTGCTGGTTGATGATCCTGAAGAAGTAGGTAGTGATATTGATGTAAATTATCAGCCAGATTCCTAGCTATGGTTAGGCTATGCATTCTTAGCTAAACGCTATATACTGAAATCAGTTTTTTGCCCATAACTTATTTATTTGCAAATCTACTTCCTTATATTATTATATATTTGTAATCCTCATAAAATTTAGAACAAAGTGGCTATTTTGAAATATTTATAGGCCTATGATTTATACAATTTCATTGAGCGCGAACTTATTTTTTTTTTTGAAAATTTTCAAAATTATATTTTTTTTACCTAAAATTTTTTTTTTTTGAAAAAATGTTCCTTATGTTTTATATATAATATTGAAGCCCATGATTTTCCAAACAAAATGGTATATAGAACATTAGAATTAACATTGTTTTAAGCTTCTCAGATCCGTTTTAATAAAACCTTGCAAATGCGCCAAAAATAGGTGGACATTAAGGCCTAAACTATGGACACTCGGAGGGTTAAGTTAGTTTTTTGCCAAATATGACTAGGCTAGTGTAAGTAACTTAGATAAGTTAACTTAGCCCATTTCAATAAATTTAAAAAATTAATTTTAGGTAACATTTTGGTACAACTTAAGTTGCGACTCCAGACATGCGCCATTCGCCAAGAGCACAAAATATTTGACGTTGGGTTATCTTGTCTTGCTATTCATCTATTAACGAGTAGTTGGCTACACACATCTGAGCTCCAACTGTTTGTTCCGGGAATAGCAAATATTTTGTTCACTTTGATAAGTGCAAAAAAAAAAAAAATTAACGGAAAAACAAGATTAGGCTACGAATGTTTGCTGCTTGCCAAATAGACAAACACCTAAGCTTATCCACACTACTCACGATTCAGCGAGTCACTTCTCAGTGCTTAGCGAAAGGCGCATGTCTGGAGCCGCCTTTAATATGATCCTGTTGTACTTAGTTGACTTACTTACTTATTTCCTTTTATCTCCTATGGAAGCATAGGGCATCTAGAAGAGCTCTCCATCTGTCCCTATCTCTAGCAAGTGCGTTAACTTTTCCCCAAGTCTTGTTAACTTCTTCACTTCTTTAATTATGGTCCTCTTCCAGGTTTATAGGGATAGCTCTTCTTCTGACACCTTGTGGGTTCCAACTCAATCCCTCTATCTCAATGGTTCTGTTTGGTTTCCTCAGAGTATGTCATAACCACACCCACTTCCTCTATAAAATTTGCATGATCTGAATTTACCAGTTTCTCTTTATAGATCTTTGTAAATAAATGGATAAAACACTGTAGGGTCAATCCATATCAAGTGATCCAGAAATAAAATAATTAGTTGCTTGACCATTTTTAAAATAAATAATAATTTTATCCTAGATACCTCTATCAATTCTGGGTTCAAAAGTGATTTCAATTTTTTTTTATCTCTTTTGTTACTTCTACGGTGGCCATTTTTGTTTTGCGGAACACGCAAATTTTTGATCATGTAAGGGTTTGCTTTAACTTGCACAACTTGGTAACCATGAACACTAGAGTGATGAAACAAAAAGCATTTTAATCTGGAAGAAACAGCCTAAATATTATGTTCAGTACATATTTATTGAAATGTGTATCAAAAACAGTTTTAAACCCATCTCAACATTTCATAAGAAAACGGAAAAATTTCAACTTTTGAAGGCGTATTACCATTGTAACAAATAAAATCTCAGACTTGATTTTTTTTGTGTGTGTAGCAACTCAGTAGAACTGTTTGTATTTCAAATATCAACCATGAGACTTAATTCCTTTAAAAGTTATCATTTTTCAAAAACTGAAATTTTTTGAAAAATTCAAATTTTGAGTCTCAATATCTTTGTTGGGACAAAGTTTAAAAATCTAAAATTTTTACCAAAAACCCCTCTTATGGTTGTTATACTACTGTATGAATTTCATCTTTGAGATTTACTTTTAAGCTATGTTACAGTATCATGAAAATCACAAAAAACCCATAAGCTCAGCCAACGTGGCTAGTACTGTAGATTAATTTATAGGTGTTGGTAATTATTTTATTTAGGTAATGTAAACTTATCTTAATGTACATTTCAAAAATCCAAAACAGATTTTTAACTTAAACTTTGTACCCAAAGTACAAATTAGGCCTATATGTACCGCTACGGTACCTACTAAAAATAAATAAAATCCTGCTAAATTTTAAGTTTTATTCATCATTTAACTTAAATAAAACTTAGTTACAGTAATTCTATTTATATTGAGGTCTTAAAATTGATTTAATGTACCGTAACCTGTATAACACAAATCAATAAAGTGTTTATTGTGGTATTTTGGAAAAAAAATAACTCATATTCTGTGGGAACTGATACAGTCTCCAGTACCTACAGGAAGTCGTAAATGAGTCACAAAACACAGTTTTTCTTAACAAAATAATTAATTTTTATAACAGATGAAGAAGTCACTCAACACCACAACAACAAACTCCTTGACCGATTTGAGAACTGTTTAAACATTACTGGAACAAGAAGCTTCCATTGTTTTATTCCTGTACCGGACAGTAGTAATGTTAGGTGCTTCGTAACCTCACTAGCAACTGAAAGCTGTAAAAATTACACTTCATACCAAAGACTCTATTGCATTTGTGTATGACAGTGGTGGGTGGCAGAGGTGATTGACATCAGTTATCAAAATAAAGATCCAGCAGGACCAACAACCAACCGCCTTTAAAACAGCTTTTGTATGTGAAATTTCTAATATTCTTTAAAATGAAAGTGGTTCAATAAATTAATCAATGAGTTCAAAATATTTAGGCCTATTGAAAAAAAGGTGTAAACCTGAATGAAAATAATCTGACAAAAAGTTTTTTTTTAATTTCACATAAGACAAGAAATTTAATTTGCAAGAAAAGGCTCTATACATTACTTTAAAGTAAGTTAGGTAAGTTTACATTAAATAAAATAATTACCTACACCTATAAATTAATTTTTAAGCTACCTACAGTACTAGCCGCGTTGGCCGAGCTTATGGGGTTTTTGCGATTTTCATGATACTGTAACTTAGCTTAAAAGTAAATCTCAAAGATGAAATTCATACAGCAGTATAACAACCATAAGAGGGGTTTTTGGTAAAAATTTCAGATTTTTAAACTTTGTCCCAACAAAGATATTGAGACTCAAAATTTGAATTTTTCAAAAAATTTCAGTTTTTGAAAAATGATAACTTTTAAAGGAATTAAGTCTCATGGTTGATATTTGAAATACAAACAGTTCTACTGAGTTGCTACACACAAAAAAAAAATCAAGTCTGAGATTTTATTCGTTCCAATGGTAATACGCCTTCAAAAGTTGAAATTTTTCCGTTTTCTTATGAAATGTTGAGATGGGTTTAAAACTGTTTTTGATACACATTTCAATAAATATGTACAGAACATAATATTTAGGCTGTTTCTTCCAGATTAAAATGCTTTTTGTTTCATCACTCTAGTGTTCATGGTTACCGAGTTGTGCAAGTTAAGAGTCTTCCTTAGTGGAAGCCATGTTGGATTTCTTCCCCATAAGAACAATGTTAACTTTGGGTCCAAATATCTCATCAGCAAATTGTCATATAATTATGGATAAGGAGTTAAATTTAAGAAATTGCGGTCCTCTAGAGATTGACGTTTTTTATTTAACAATTTTTAATTTTTATAATGAATAATTGATTATTAATTAGCTTAAAATTAAGCTAATTATTGAAAGGAAATGAAAATGGATTTTCGAAATTCAAAAACCTCAGTCACGAGTCTATTATGTTAAAAATACAAATTATAAATTTCAAAGCTATATCTTAACAAATAACGCCGTTACGTGTCCACAAATGATGTAATGTTTAACATTGTTCTTATGGGGAAGAAATCCAACATGGCTACCACTAAGGAAGACTCTTAACGCAAACCCTTACATGAGCAAAAAGTTGCGTGTTCCGCAAAACAAAAATGGCCACCGTAGGAGTAACAAAATAGATAAAAAAATTTTAAAATCACTTTTGAACCCAGAATTAATAAAGGTATCTAGGATAAAATTATTATTTATTTTAAAAATGGTCAAGCAACCCCTGTTGGATCACTTGATATGGATTGACCCTGTAACATTTATTGAATTGTTAGTTCTAGGATGCAGTATACATTACCAATTCTTCAGCAGCCTGTTCACATACGTTGTGACAGTATAGCAAGATGGGTTGATGAGTGTACCAATAAGGATTTAGAAAACTTATTACCGGATATCGTAGAAGATATTTTTGGAGTCAAAAACAGAGTTGGATGGGGATTAATGAGCATAGAATACAGTTTAAACTCAGGAGAGTATGACTTGCTATTCAAGTTTCTGCATCCTAATGGACCAATGTTTCGCCTCTGTTACAAACTTTTGTCAGACCCTTATATTAAATACAAATTCCCACTTGCCTTCCTACCTGTAAGTATTTTAAACTATTTTTTATGTTTAAGTTATGAATTTAACTGAGTGAAAAGTTTCATAGTAATGTAAAATGTTATAAGTTTCATGGCCTATTTGAAAATAAATTTGTATTTGTTTCCCTAGGGAGTATCATTTATGTAAGAGTAGGCCTATTGTAAACTTTTGAGACCTTAAAAACCACAGAGAAGTGGGATGCAGAGGATTGAAGGATATGAGACAACCGTGCGCTTTTAGCTCTGGAATGGTGGGGCGGAAATATATTAGTACTAGATAACCTGTTGCTCGAAATCGAGCAAAACTGATACTTGTAATAAAATAATGAAGAACAAAAAACATGAACAGCAAAACCTCAATCATAGCGTCACTCTAAAGTAATTTCTATGACTGATTATAGAAATGTGAAAAATGTTATGTTGTAAAAAAATTGTAAAAGTAATGTACGGTATTTAGGCCTAAATATAGATCCGTTCTCATACTGCTTTGGTTACCTCTTATGTACTGTGCCCTCTATGAGAACGTCGATGTCAACCACACACTGTAAAGTGAGCTTTTCAGACCAGCAAGCTAAATCCCTCTCTTGACGCCAACCAGTACGTCACATACTATAGCATTGTTAAATTATTTCTACGAAATGTTCTGTTTTAGGCGTGTTTAAATTAGGTGCCCCAACCAAAGTCTCCGGTTGGGAACATAAGAGTGGATTGGATTTAACGACGTATCTAGAACGGATTCGCGTTTAACACTATTAGTTTTTAAAGAAAAAAAAGATTTATTTTGCAAGGTGGTGCTCTGTTTTCAGCTTTAAAAATAGCTGGGAGATTTATTTAAGTAGCATCATTGTAGAGAGGAAAGTCACTTCTTTTGTCTTTTACTATGCACATGAATCTCACTTGACTCCTTGGATCTCTCCTCCCTACACATTTCTGCCACAATTTTAAAAGATTAGGCAAAGAAGTTGGAAATGTGACCCTATTCCCGCATAATTCTTCATGGCATTTTTTGTTTGAATTGTGTTTCATGCGCTGTTGGGTTCCAGTGCCAACGTCTTACTCTTTTCAACTATACATCTGTGCGTGTTCAGGATGACCTTCTTAAGGAATTATATTACCAATTTGGAGGTAAAACAAACATGTCATGGATCTTTAAATCGTAGATCCCTTGTGTGACCCTCTCGTCAAAATGAGCTTCCATGGCAAAGGCAGAATTGAATTGGCTAATTTTATTGAGATAATTTCTGGATCCAAGCCTCACAGCCCTGTTTTCAGATTGGATGGAGTTTCCAATAAGTTCCTGAAAATATGGTGAATTCTGCAAATGAGGTAAATAATTAACCGATTGGATGTATCACCACGGCAGTACTGCCACTCTGTATCCGTCAAATTGGGAGGTCGATGCAAGCGGTCACGTTTGCGTTCCCTCCAGCCACTCACACAAATTTAGATAAAATATGAAAGTTAACCAATCAACAGAAAACACTACAAAGGAATTTTGATACACACTGTAAATTACATGATAATATGGTAATGTAACGGGTAACTGCACTGTGAATAATAATTTTCAAACATTCACTTAATCACACCGAACTGTAACCAACACTAACACGAAAATTCAGTAAAATACGATGTAAGGTAAATAAATTCAACTATTACAAACAATTTGTTGTCAGGTCTTGCTAGCAAACTCTTTATTTATGAACCAGACTCAGTTAACAGATGTTTAAATAAAAATATAAAATTCCGGCTTTGGTCTGGAAGTAATAAGTCCTGAGATCTGAGGTTAAACTAAAAAACCCCGCCGCAACAAACCTGCAGACTAAGCGAATTTCCATTTGCCTGATTCGATTTACACTAAAATAAAATGTCTCTTTAAAAATATCAAATTTATTCCCTATTTAAATAACATTAGTTTAACGAGTACTTAGGTTTGCTGCAACAGGGAGGGTAAAAAGTATTTTTTTTTAAATAGTATGAAATGAATGCATTTTCAAAATTTGATCAAAATATGACCATAAACAAGTCTACAACAGTTTACTTATTCTCCATAAGAATAACATGGGAATTTTAAATTTACAGTTTTTTTGAAATTTTTTCCGTAACCATTAGCGCATAACAATGCTTCAATACACTAAATTATTTGTCTTTTTTAATCTCTACAAAATGGTTTGGAAAGAAAATGCTAAATTTTTAGTTTTTAAGGTAAAAAATTGGAAAAACCAATTTTCGCCCCATAAAACCCCCCATAAACACCTGTTCCCATAGTCCGATTATGCTGGTTCGCAAACTCGTTCGAATAAACGCAGGTTTACACGTTTGTGCCAAATTTCATCAAAATCGGATGATTTTTGCTCGAGTTATCGCGCTAACGGACACATAATGAATTTGAACGGATGGTGTTTTTGGTCTCTAGGGACCTCAAAACGAAAAAGTTAATCGGTCCCGGATCCAGGTCTTACCATGAGTACTACGGTAATAGCTTATTCCCTATGTGGGAAATTCGTTAAAAACTATTTCAAACTACGTCCATACGTTTAGTTGTAAACAAAGGGAATTGAGTTTGATGGTTTGATCTAATGTCAACAGATAGCACCACCGTTCCCAAACTTTAGCCCTTAACTGTATTTAAGTGATACCCCTTCTTAATATTCTGAGACGTATTTGCACATCTACGTGAAAATACCCTTAATATGACACCTCAAACGTTAAAATCCGTCAAGCCGTTATCGAGTTATGACTGTGAAAAGAAAACTGCTTGCGTATTAATATATAGATATGGAGCAAGGAAGAGCTCGAACGGCAATGGCCACATAGCATATTTGTACAGCAGTTGTGGCGCACAGGGTCTTCCAGCTTCCTACAAGGTGAGTGCTGTAGTACGTGATGGGGAGGGGGAAAAGGAGAGCGAAAGGGGATGGCAAATATAATTTACTCTAGACCAGCAACTGGTGCTAGACGCCATTTAAGTGTACCATTCATTGTATCCTCTGTTTATTACTTCTCTGTGGTAAAAATGTTTACAGAGCCAGTATTATTTTAGGTTACTAAAAACTAGTAAAACAGTCAAACCATTAGGCCTACATAAGGACTTTCCATTAAATTGGTTTCCTAAAAGATTCTTTTAATCCTCCTCAGCATACTTGTGCATTAGTGCAATTTACAACTCTTATCTGATAAATAAGTTGAGGGCTTGAAATCTCAATATAGGCCTAACTGTATTTACCAGCATAAGCAAAATAAATACTTGCCCCTATATAGCAAACATACAAATTATGAAATCAGTAGGCCTACAATGTAGTAAGAAAAAATATAACTAAAATACCCCCGCCGCAGCAAACCTGCAGAGTTAGCAAATTTTCATTTGCCTGATTGGATTTACTCTAAAATGTCTCCTTAAAAATATCACATTTATTTCCTAAACAGAATTAGTTTAATGAGTACTTAGGTTTGCTGCAACAGGGAGGGTAAACTTTTTTTTATATTTAAAATGTTAAAAGGTACTGTAGTTTAGTAAGAAATTAATGTATTTTCCAAATTTGATCAAAATAAGTTCATAAACAAGCAAACTACAACAGTAGACTTATTCTCCATAAGAATAACATAGGAATTTAAAATTAAAATTTTTTTGAATTTTCTCCGTAACAATTAGGCGCATAATAATGCTTCAATATACTAAATTATTTGTTTTTTTAAGCTCTACAAAATGGTTTAGAAAGAAATTGTGAAATGTTGCGTTTTTAGGGTCAAAAATGGGAAAAACCTATTTTTACCCCATAAAATCCACCATAAACCCCCGTTAACATAGTCCGATCATGCTGGTTCACGAACTCATTAAAGTTTATCCCGCCTTACACCTTCAAACCAAATTTTATCAAAATCGGACAAAAATTATTTAAGTTATCGTGCGGATGGACATATATATATCTATATATGGATATATAAAAATTTGAACGAATGGTGTTTTTGGCCTCTGGGGACATCAAAATGAAAAAGTAAATCGGTCCCGGGCCTAGGTCTTACCATGAAACCTACGGTAATAGCTACTTCCCTATAGGGAAATTCGCTAAAACGGTTCATTGTGTTGTTTAAGTCAATGATTGAAAAGGATAATTATTAGCGAATTTCCCCATAGGGAAGTAGCTATAACCGTAGGTGGCCGGCACCGATATAAATTTTCATTTTGATGTCCCTAGAGGCCAAAACACTATTCGTTCAAATTTTTATATATGTATATATATAGAGAGAGAGATTTATAAATATATACATCCGTGAACGTGATAACTTGAGTAATTTTTTTCCGATTTTGATGAAATTTGGTTTGAAGGCGGGATAAACTTCAATGAGTTCGCGAACCAGCATGATTGGGCGATGGGAACAGGGTTTTACAGAGGGTTTTATGGGGTAGAAATTAATTTTTCTCATTTTTGACCCTCAAAAAACAAAATTTACCAATTTCTCTCTAGACCATTTTAAAGAGCTAAAAAAAAACAAATAATTTAGTGTACCAAAGTGTTCATGTACGTTTTTTGGTTATGTAGGGTAGAAAATTCAAAAAAAACTGCAAATTTAAAATTCCCATGTTATTTATTCTTATGGGGAGTATTTAAAATGTTTTAGTTTGCTTGTTTATGGAAATATTTTGATCTAACTTGGCTAATTTATTTATTTTATACTAAGCTACCAATATTAAAAAAAAAAAAAAAAACACAATTTATTAGCCTTCCTATAGCAGCAAACCTAGGTATTCGTTAAACCTAATGTTATTTAAATAGATTTAATTCAAAATCAATTCAGGTAAATGGAAATTCGCTTAGTCTGCAAGTTTGCTGCGGCGGGGTTATCGTGAACACGATAACTTGAGTAATTTTTGTCCGATTTTGACGAAATTTGGTTTAACCCTTTGAGGTTGAATTTTTCCCAATTTTCGCCAAGTATAGTTTGCCATTAGAGCAGTCGGGAAAATGGCGCCCGGTGACCGATACTCGCCATTCAACTGCAAAAAAAAACTTTTTTGATTTTTTTTAGTACAGTCGCCATTTTTGAGCAGTCAGGAAAATGGCGGGCAGCAACCTATACTCGCCATTCAACCGCAAAGGGTTAAAGATGTAAGGCTGGATAAACTTGAATGAGTTCGCCAACCAGCATGATCGGACGATGGGAACGAGTTTTACAGAGGGTTTAATGGGGTAAAAATTGGTTTTTTCTAGTTTTTGACCCTCAAAGCACAATTTCCCAATTTCTCTCTAGACCATTTTAAAGAGCTTAAAATTTATTTTATACTAAGCTATTAATATTTTACGAAAAAACACACTTTATTAGTTTCCTTGTAGCATCAAACCTAGGTACTCGTTAAACCTAATGTTATTAAAATAGATTTGATTGAAAACCAATTCAGACAAATGGAAATTCGCTTAGTCGGCATGTTTGCTGCGGTGGGGATATTTTTATTTTTATAAGAGTAAGGGCAAGACCTTATCTCAAGGAATGTTAAAACACTTAGCGGTACAGAATTTCTAGATCTATATTACCTTTAAAATTAAAATTAAAACGGTTTTAAGTAAGATCTGATTTTTAGTAGCCTATAGCAACATTTAATGAACATTACTCCTATGATAAATAAGTCTTATCCAAATTAATCTTTTTGAATTATTATCAAAACTCACCTCTGGTCTCCGCAACGATGTGCTTCCAATCTTCCTGGTCCTCGGCTTGCTCACAGGTAACTCCTAGCCTTCTCAGGTCTTAATCCACTTGATCTTGGCATCTAAGGCTTGGCCTTCCTAGCGGTCTGGTACCTGCTGGTCTCCCCTCAAATACTTCTTTAATAAGAGCATTATGTGATATTTAAAAGGAGATATTTTACTGTAAATCCAATCAGGCAAATGGAAATTGGCTTAGTCTGCAGGTTTGCTGCGTCGGGGATATTTGAGAATTTTTCAGAAGTTGTAGTTCAAACTATAGAGGGGTAGTTTTTCAAACTATAGATGGGTAAAAAAATAAAAATAAAATAAAACAGTAATCCTGAGACAAGAAACAACATGAATATAAAAATCTGCCTAGTAGTTGAAGGGCATTGTCTATTGTAACTACGCCCATGATGTGAACCTCTAACTTTAACACGTTAGAGCCCATGGGGAAATATAGCTCATCTGACTGACGTCTATATAACTAATCTCTACATCAGTAATAAACTACTTGATGGCGTAAATTTCATTCTTATTTCATCTGAATTTGCTATACCAAGGTTTGACTGAAAATATTCCCAGTCCATTTAACTACTTTGAACAAATTAATATGTCGCTGATTATACTACTATATGTAAATTACCAAAATAAAACTTCAAACAAAGAATATATTCTGTAGTTATAATAATCGATACTTTTTCCAGCAAAAAGTGAAACAGTCCATTGAAGAAGGCACAGCTTTACCTTTCTATATTGACAAACTTGAAATGGATCCACGGACCCGCACACCATTGCATCTAGCTTTGAGTATCCTTTTTGTGACAATCAATAATATGCACAGCCATTAAGACCATTTAAAACATATTTATTGAAAAGCAGTACAAAGAAGAGTTGCTGTCTGGTGTCTAATCAACCCCAATCTAATCTCTTTAACCATGATGCCTTTGGGCCGATAGATGTTTTCTAAATTATGAGTGGTGTTTTTATTGATCAAATTATAAGTTCAATTGTTTTAGGTAAGTGATAAGAATGTGCCATAGACTAATGTGTGTGTCCACTGTATATTACCTTAACTAAACTAGATCCTTTTGAGTTGTACATGTTCCACTTCATGTACCATATAGTGAACCCTTGCCAGAAGTCAGTGCCCTACCAGGAGACTCGGGTATACTCCTCACTCTACCTGAGGCTGGCAGAGGAGTATCTGGCTACGTTCCTACCATGTGATGGTTCCACAGTCCTGCCAGAGTTGCCAAACCATTACATCTCTCAGAGCCCTCATCGATCCATCCCTCAGAAGTGAGTTAATGTACAGTGGTAAATAATTAATATGAGTAGTCAATTGAAACTGAATATACCGTAATTTTAGAACAGCTAAAGACAAATACTAGCAGTTTTATTGGAGAAAATCATCTTGTAAACAAATGTCACGAGTGGGACCACCTTTTTCTTTCACCCTATTATAGGCCTATACGATATGCATTTTAAATCAGATAATTTTACAATAAATCAGCAATTGTGTCAATTTGAAAAGCCTTTTAGTGAGATTGGGGGCCAATCCACACACACTGGTTTTGAGTACAGTAGCTACATTCCACCTCCCATTGCAAACTATCACTTACCGTACCTTATCTTACCTCCGTGACCACTGAAACCCTAAGAGAATTCTGGCCTCCCATTCTCTTCTATCCCCTGCCTCTTCCAATGTAGAATACACTTTAAAAAGTTGATGTATCTTCTCTCCGCATATGGTTAGTCGGTGGCTCAGTCTGTAGCGCCACGGACTTCGGGCCCAAGACAGCGATGTTGTGGGTTCGGATCCTGGTCACAGCCGCAAACATTTTTACACCACACTACACTATTTTGACGAACTTCCCACACAAGGATTTAGTCCAGAAAACAGATTTTTGCTGCCAGCTTAATCAAATGGGGATTCATTGCATACTACTGTACTGTAATGAGTTTTACCGGACACCAATCAGCTGATTATACTGTATTTGGGTGGCAATGAGTGGTTATAAACAAAGCATAACCTCTTTTAGAGGTTATGACTAGTGATTTTTAGTCCTTTAGTTGGTGGTAATATAGGATTTGTACAGATCTAGTAGTATGGCGTAATCGCCATAGGTACTAATAGATAGACTCGACTTTGTCTCGCATAGGAACGACCACACTCGTCCGGTAAACACTTATTTTCAGAACTAGTAACGTAATATACTATATCAGTACAGTTCATCCTTTTACTGTATACCGGCTCACCCCTTGCTTCGCTGGATAGTGGATACGTCCCATGCACGGGCAGTTAGTCTATACGGACAGGAAACTGCAAGGTTTAAAGAGGCCGCCAACCTCTTAAAAAATATATATATATAATCTGGCTCATTCGAGCCTTTTACTTTTGGAAAGCAACCCTATATCTGGGTGTTTATACATTTCTCTTAGCTCTCTGTTCGTTTTTATCTCAACCTCCGTTATCTTGAACTGGTCCATATATTTTCTCTGCATTCTATTCTCATTCACAGCAATAACGGTTTTTCGATTCTTTGGTTAGTTCCCAAGTATCTGAATCGTACAGTAAGTTACTATTGGGATAATTATGGTATGGTATATATATATATATATATTTTGAACACACAGAAAAAGAAGTATCAACACTTAAACCACTTATATCTTAAACAATTAAGCGATTAATTGATGGGTAAAAAAAATTCTTAAATGTAAGATGGAATTTCGCAAGCCAGCATGATCTGACCATGGGAACGGGGTTCTACAGGGTAAAAATTGGTTTTTCTAATTTTTGACCCTCTAAACACAAAATTTCCCAATTTCTCTGCAGACCTTTTTGAAGAGCTTAAAAAACAAATAATTTAGTACATGAAAAAGCTTTAGTACAATTATTAGTTACAGAGAAAATTGTTATTTTAAAATTCCCATGTTATTCTTATGGAGAATATTGTAAAATGTTTTAGTTTGCTTGTTTATGAATATATTTTGATCAAACTTGGTAAATTTATTTATTGTTATACCAAGTTATAAATATTTTACTAAAAAACACACTTTTTTACCCTCCCTGTAGCAGCAAGCCTATGTACTCATAAAACCTAATGTTAATTAAATACATTTAATTGAAAATCAATTCAGGCAACTGGAAATTTGCTTAGTCGGCATGTTTGCTGCAGCGGGGGTATTTATTTTTATTTTTTGTGTTATCCGACTGTTTTGCTTATCCAGTCTTGCCACTGGTAGCTTAGGTTAAATAAATGAGACAACTGTGTATATCAAATCATTACAATTTCATTTTTGAGATGATGCCTTAACAATAACTATTGTAGAGGTTAAATACCTTGTTCCCATCATCCTTTGTTGTCGGAGTGGTGACAAGGATTACGTTGGCTACAATATATTTTACCTCAACAATAGTATTATAATAATTTCTATAAACTCCAACAAACCCCACTCTTACGGTTGTTCAGGCCTGTGCGTACCTCCACGCTGTTCCGTCAAGAGGTGTTAGTAAAGATGTTGAAGCAAAGTCCTGCAGCTAACACCTTGCAGTCCTCCCCCCATGTAGGCATCTGGCGCAGTGAACTCATTGTTCAACTTTGTCTCGACTTTTGGCTGAGCATGCCAAACGCCTCCAGTCAGGTAAGGAACAATATATGATAACACTAATATTATATATAAAACAGCCTATTATTGGTACAGTGTAGGAGCGTCAAATGAGGAAAACCACAAATGATGCAATACCAGTTTTGTAGCCATAAATTTGACAGTGTAAGAACGTTCACTATTATCTGAGAAGTGACTTGGAGGTGCTCAGAATTCACCACAATTGCAGATGTTTGCTGCAATTGTGGAAAAGGATGATATCTCCACATCCACAGGGTTTAGAAAAATATAAAGATTTTGCCGCAACCACAAAATATATTTACCACTTTAAGTTATCACAGGTTACCAACTTATTTGAACGCTGCTTAAAATTATTAAAATACATTCAGCCATTGTTAAATTATGACCCAGAAAGAAACATGAGTCACTTATTAATACGGTTGATGCAATGTTTGCTTAAGCCTTTAACCGACAAAATAGTTGAATCCTTGGATAAAAGAGAATCTGCTGCAGGTATTTGCTTTGATCTTCGAAAGACATTTGACATAGTTTCTAATGAAATTCTTCTAGATAAACTCAAAGATGTTGGTGTTAGAGGGATGGCCAACAAATCGTCGCTCCTTCATAGCTGGACGTCGTTAGACCGTAGAGTTCTCGATCGAAAAACGTGGGATAATGAGGAAATGTAGCTTTAATGTCAAATTGGTAAAGGCAAGTGTAGGCCTCCCTCAGGGTTCAATTGTAGGTCCTTTATTATTTATCTTATTCATAAATGATATTCCTAAAAGTGTGTCTGATGCTGAGATATTTTTGTTTGCTGATGACACATCATTGTTTGTAAAGGTTAAATGTCGGAAGAACATGGAGATTAAAGCATTTCTTCAGTCCCATGTTGTCATTGGTTTTTAGACAGCAATCTAATTGTAAATGCAGAAAAGACTAGTTAAATTTGAAAATTTGGGGTTTTGGTGGTCCGAGTCCGATCATTATGTCAAATTTCTAGGCATCTCTATCGATAGGAATCTGAACTATTTCTCTCATACTGATTGTGTGACTGTCAAGTTAAGATCTTCACCATTTGTATTCACAGACTTTCAAAATTTATGATAATATAAATTATAATTTATTATATATTTTGCCCTCGTATATCCACATTTGTCCTATGCCGTTAGCATTTTGGGATCAGAAAACGTCTACACCAAACAAATTTTTAGGATGCAGAAGAAAGCGATTAGAGTCATCTCAAACCAAAACAATCATGCAAGCACTTTTTTTCTGAAGCAGGTCTCCTTACTTTTACATTTTTCATACACTGCTTTTTTCTTAAGATAAACTTTGAACTTTATTAGCATCTTGTACCTAATTCAACATATAAAACAAGTTACTTTAAAAAAACTTTTATAAAACATCTACTAATACTTTAAACATCCCTAGACTTAAAACTTTATTTTTTTTAAATCAGATGTTTTACTATTTTGTCATTTTTTTTAATGCCCTCACAAATGGTCTCAGGAGTGAAATGGACTTTTATGAATTTAAGACCCAGCTCAAAGAGTTTTTAATTTGTAATTGTTTTTATAGTGTCAAGGTTTTTATTTGTTAACAAAAACAATGTAACATGTTGATTTTGGAGACTTGATTGTGACGCTTGCCAATGCCTGTATTGAGTTTAACGGCAATAAACACCATTTCATTTCATTCAATTCCTTCATTTCATTTCATTACAGTAGAACTCCAATTATCCTAATCAAATGGAACTGTACCACATTCAGATGGTAAAATCTTAAAAAAATGGTATTTTCCACTATCTCGAGATAACAATAATAATTTCTACAAGATCGCAAAGAAGTTCAAGATTGTGTTGCGATCGAAGAAGATGTTAATGATGTTTCCTTTAGTGAGGTAGACAATGATGATGTCCACAACCCAGGAAGAAGTTCAGAAATTTGCCAAGATCACAGTTTTTGCCTTCTGTGATAATCATTCACAGTGGCGGCCCTAGAGATTGCGGAGCCCAAGGGTAAGTTCAATAGCCGGCCTCTCTTAATACCTGAAATTCGGCTGTTCCTCTGAAAAGCGGGTGGCCCAGGCCTTGTTCGCCTTTATGTAGGGCCGCTTCTGATCATTAATATTAATACTGTAGTTTTAGGTTTTTAAAATTATTCCTGTAAGCTATTTAGATAATCGGCGATTTAGATGGTTGGAGCTCAGATAGTTGGAGTTTTACTGCTTAGGATTCTTGGAGAAAGCAGCGCCGCTTCTGTCACTCTACACCACTGTGTTTATTGTTTAACAAACAATAAATGTATTAAGAATATAAAACATATGTGCAGTATTTAATTGTTTACATAACTTGAAAAAAAGGTTAGATGTATTTCCATTGAGGAAGAACCTGTACGTGTGCATAGGAGTAAATTTATTTTATTTCAGCATTTGATCAATTTGTTTGATTGTATTTACATATTAAGCTAAAGGGCCATGGTTATATTTCTTCAGATGAAAGGTAATTTTATGTTACAGTGGGCTTACGACACCCCCAACCACTACTTGGGACCTTACAAGCCTTTAGCCTCCACAGTAAGTCATTTTGTGAATGACATTTGCTACTAATTCAAATGTCTTACCCACTTCACCTGACTAACAGTATATGGGCTTTGTTCTGTCAACCTAAAAATATTCAAGACCCATAAGCTTTCGTTTGTAGAATGTAGTACTATAAGACTATGGTATATTATATGTGTTATTAAATGTGCTCCAACAAAAATATCTAAAGGCCGCTACACACTAGGACACCCGGTTGCTTATCAACTGGCGATCTGGTTGACAAGCGACTAAGTTGATGATTGAACGATTGATGATACCTAGCACTTTTAAACAAGCAGGAAATCAATCAAAATTTGGTGGAGATAGACAATGTGTTTGGTTCGCGTTCGAGCTTAAGTGACAACACCATGCCCGCCGACAAAGAAAAGTAGCTGCCGAAGTTATGATTATATTTAATTGTGGGCAGCAGAAAAGAAGAAAGAAATTGTTGAGAAGATTTTGGGCTAAAGGGTGGCTTCAACGTAGAAATAGTTACAGCCGCATGAAACTCCTACGAGCTTTGTGACTTGAAAATCCTCAGGATTTTAAGAATTATTTACGGATGTTAGATGACAGTTTCCGTCATACTTGGCAACTAGTGATGCACATGACACCTTACATAGAAAAAAGGACGCCAGATTGAGAATTTAGCATGGTTTTGTTTTGTCAGTTAATTTTTAGTTGTATTGCCCATGCCCAAGCCGTCTTTAGTTGATCAACTTTGTTGCTGAACCCTACACGCTCTAGTTTTTTGAGAAATCTCGTTGCCCGGCGATAAAAATTGGTTAATCGGAAACCAACAGGTTTTTAGTACAGCACCAAAAACCAAAATGTCGCCTGGCAACCTATAAATCGCCGTCAATCAAATTGACAGACCCCCCCCCCACACAGTGATATTTGTGCAATTTGGTCGCTCGTCAACCAGATCGCCGGTTGATAAGCGACCGGGTGTCGTAGTGTGTAGCTAAGGTGTGAAAAAAGATCTACAGTTTGTTGCACAAGTGAAAAACCATCTTGCGCATGTTTACAAGTTCAAGTAAGTATGCTTAGAAACATTTCATAAACTGAACTGTGTACATTTTCCTAGGTCCTCGCCGGGGGTATAGGTATAGGTAATAGTTTTTCATCACTCCGTAGGGAAAGTAGCTATTTCCGTTAACAGCTGAAATCAAAGAAAATAATTTTTGTCAATTTTTTTATTCAGAGGAAGGGAAATTCAATCAGCTGACTTTCTCTTGCTCTAAACTTACTTTCCCTTGATCTCAATCAGTTCTGTATTTACTCACCAAGAGCACTATTGTTTATTTACAGTTTATTTAAATCAGCTTTTTTTCTGTTCAACAATGTAAATGTAAACAGGAATAGACAAAAGCAAGTATTTTTTTTTTTCGTGACAGTGGTCCAGAGACTGTGGAGCGAGTAGAGCAGTCTCTCCATGGCAGGAAGCTCTGGGGCGGAACTTATTGTAAATAATAAAACAAAAATAGTTGTCGCCACATATGTAATTATAAAATTTAAGATGGACTTTCTCTGATCAGCTAAATATATTTTATAAAGAAGTAATATTATACTAGGCCTGCACTATAAATGTCCGAATATAATTTGTGGATGGTTTGTAATTCGTCACCGTTGCCGTAGTCTGAAGGCGTATGGACAGCACGTGCAAAAACAATAAATACGGTGTATCGTCTGCTGGTGTTTCACTTGTCCTATGAATTACACTCATTCCTACATTTAGTGATCAGATCAGTCTTGTTTAGTGATTGGCTAGTTTTATTAGTATTGAATTGAATAAAATGTGAAATATTTTTTTTACTTATCAAGCTATGATTTGAATTAGAAATGAAATTATTTAGTGTTCTGACAACAATCGACTTAAACCATTTATAAAACAAAAACAACTTCTCAAATCATATCAATATGAAACCGATTATGAAATAATATATTCCTTTGCTTTTTATAGGTTGTTGGTTTTTACAATTTTTGAATTATAGTTGTTCCTTACTCAGAATTTTGTGAAACAATTGTTCTTGCGGGTTAGGTGAAGATGTTCGTCATAATTTAGCAAAAATGGCTGTTTTCAATACTACTTCAGTACTGTCATAGAGAAAAAGAATTAAATATAGACCGTCAGCCGTGCTGCTGTTACCGATTCTACTTCAAAATGGAGTATTTTGTTTTCTCCATTCTCCAATGGGCATAAAAGAATACATCCGAATTGGGTTATATACCCGAATGTCTTTCTTCTACTATTTAAGCATTAAGCAGGAGGTACATATTGTACAGCTAATTTCTAATGGATATTTATTTACCAGATTAAGGATACGATACTAAATCATATGTTGTGGTGGATTGTCAAATGTTGTTTAACCATGTTATGGTGTTTTGTGTCAATCACCTAAGTTTTTGTGGATTGGTAATTTTGTTTGCACTTGTTGTGGTGTCTTTATCTTGTTATTCAACAGTCCCCTTTTGACCAAAAAACAGGGAATCATTTGTGAATTATGATACAGTACACACTTGATTAACCGAGGTTGTTGGACCGAGTTTACCTTAGTTAAATAGCAGGGTGTCTAGTAGTCGGGAAAAAACGGAAAGTCGGGAATTAGTATTGAATTTCAAAATGGTCTTGAAAAGTCGAGATTTAGTCCTTATTTTGATATCAAAATCAGAAATTTTCACGATTTTGCCGCGATTGCGCAAGACGACGATCAAGTTTACGTGACCATGAAAGAGAATGATGATGATCTCTACAAGGCCGCAGGAAATGATCATTATTTTGCCGCGATCCTAAATGACAACAATGATATTTTCGGAATCGCGGGAGTTGACGATAACGTTTCCGTTTCCGTTACTGCGAGAGACGACGATGATGTTTCCGTGACCGCGGGAGCCAATGTTGATGTCTACACGGCCGCGGGAAGTGTTCATGATTTTGTCGCAATCGTGGACGACGATGATGACATTTCTGTGACCGCGGCAGTCAATGATGATGTCTAAACGTCCGCAGTAGATTTTATGATAAAAAACCCTAATTGGCTAGTTAGATTTTTTCATTGCTGCACTTTGTATTTACTTTAAAACCATTATCTTAATAATAGTTTATAACATAAATACGGGGTGTGTGTAATACAAACAAATTATTTAGAACATTTTGTTAAACTATAAAAATTGGTATCGGTATCAAGAATTGAGAATTGATACATTTTGGTACTGACACTCACTATTTGTTGAAAAAGAACTAGTCATGAAAAATATAGAATTAGTCTTGAAAAGTCTGGAGTTAGTCGTATATTTTAAAATGGAAATAAACTAGACACCCTGGAATAGAGAATCTCAGATACGGGAGACTCTTGATAATCCAAAATTAAGGTCCAAGCAAATAAATTTGAACTATCAAGAGTTGATTTATCGGGATTAAAACAAACCATTTGAATTACAAAGAGTTAATTTTCTTAATGCTGTATTATGATGTAAGGCACGGAACATTACAATTATACCGCTTATTTTAGTAACTTTCCAACAAACA